CCTGCAGTCTTATTCCTATAAACCTACCCAAGGGCTTGTAAACTGAATTTTATATAGGATGCCTGTTAACACCAGTAGTTAAAGATGTCAGCGATGCCTTCAGTCCATAGAGATTACAGCAATATACTTGGCCACAATAAAAAGTTCCAATTCTGATAGTATTTTAAAAGTGGTTTTAACATTTCAATTTGAAATTTGACAAAAAGATCAGGTTAAATCCTAAAATATTGTTATATTCCCTCTAGTTACTATCTTATTATACATATCCAGTCAGCTGCCAGCTCCCTAGTTTACAGTTTAGCCTCTCTGTAAAGAACTGGAAAATGAAAGACATGCACAAAACTATCCCACAAGAACAGCAAAACCAAAAGAAACAGCGTGAAATTTGTTAGCAATACTGTTCTGGAGAAAGTTGGTGGTCAAAGCTTCAAAATTCAAAACCAGACTTAATCAAAAGAAGGTCAAAGGCTAGAGGGGAGAGGAGGGAAAAAAAAAAAAAAAAAAAAGCAAAAAAACACCCCCACCCACTCCTGCCAAATCACTGAGAGCCCTCCCCTGCACCAGATGCTGTTTTCTCTGCTGGGAATTTCTCACATAAGCCCTATCCTGTGAAGTTCAATGGACCAGGATAAAGCAAACTGCCAAGGACTTTCAAAAGGAAGGGCAGATATCAATGCAGTACATAATTATGTTTAATAAGAGCATTCAAGACAGACACTATCAGGGAATGTTTAGCACCAGTTTAGTTAACGCAAGCATAAATAAAGGAAAAAGTTTCAGTGTTCCTCTCCCTGCTAATCTAGGGCTTGCCAAGCGCAACGGGGACATCCCCAAGCAGTACCCCACTGCACATAACACAGTTAAGTCTCACAACATAATTAAGAGAAGGAAGGTTGATTACAGGGAAGACCAGTATTTCTCACAGTGTGCATACAGTAAAGAAAACTTTGCATGTGCATGAAAGAAACCCGTCACTGTCAGTTTTGGCATGATCCATACTGAGTTGGACCAAACGCTGTCAGCAAAGGAATGAGAACTTTGAGAGCAGCATTTGGTTGCTGTTATAAAGCATGCATCTGTAGGAGCTTTTAACCCCTGAGCACCAGGTAGCCCAACAGAGCACACCAACAGGAGATCACTTGACTCGTACAGTCATTCCAGCATGAAGAGGCTCAGGTGGTCTCCAACCCAGGCTCAATTCAGCTCAGGTTGTCCAGGGCTTTGTACAGATAGGTCTTGGAGACCTCCTTAACCTCTCTGGGCAAACTGTTTCAATGCTTAATTGACTAAGGGTGCCAAGCAAGTCCAGCAAAGGGTTGGAAGTAATAAAAAGACTGTAGACTCAACTACAGCCAGGAAAAGGGGGCAAAAACAGTTAGGACAAACCCTTGCACATAACTATGTACTCCCTCACATTGAGTAACATCTTGAATATCCTCCAAGTTGACAAGAATTGGAATGCTCTGCCAGAGCTGTACATGTTTTCAATTAAACACAGAGCACAACACTCCAAGATACAGTGAGGAGAGATAGTAAGCAAGGGGACAACGTGTATCACGGAATCTGCATCGACACAAATGACATCTAGGAAGTAACTTCTTTCAACTCCAATGAAAGAGAGTTCATCTGTGTAACTGTTAGGCAGTTCTTGCTGATGGAGTCTCTTACCTACACTGTACTACTACAAGCTGCATTTTCATTTTTTTAATCAAATACCAAACCTGGCCTGCACACTATGACTGAATATGAAAAATCATTTAGCAGATCACACTCCTTTCTGCTAGATGAACGCTCACCTTGGGATGCTCGTCAGGTACGTCAGGACGTTCTGGAACTCCTTTTCAGGGATCTCGCTGAAAGCTGGATAATCTGGAAAGGTGATAACAGGGCAGCCATCTCCCCCTCTTCCACCTAAAAAGAAAAAAAAAAAAAAAAAAAAACACCAGGAGACGTATTTACATTTTATCTAGGTTGCAATTTCACCGCAAATGAATTACTGCATTTTTTCCATTATCAATACAGTGCTCACCAGCATCCTTCCACTATAAGGACAGACTAAAAGAGGTGTCAGAGCATTAAAAGGACTGGGGCAAAGAGTTTCGGAAGAATCTTCTCACCCGCTTTCTCAGATTATCTGTAACAGGTAAACAAAGTCAAACATCTGCACTGCAGCATGGCTATTAAAAAGGTGGCCATCATTATCATCTCTATCTTCTCTGGCATTTCCACTGCTGTAATGAATTCACGAATGCAGGGCTTTCAATGCCCTTCCCATTCCCATTTTTAATACGCAAAAGGGTTTTTTTTTTGTTTTGTTTTAAAGCCATGCTAATCTTCCAGGACTTAGGCAACAATGACATAACTATCATGCAAATATCACAGCTTTCCAAGCATAATCCTTATGGCGCATCCAAGCACAGCAATAGGGGAGTTAATTTTAGCTACATAAATATTCCTAACACAAATGTAATTTAAGACCAAACTAAGGACCAAAGTATTTTCCTCCCACAATTTTATTAAAAGCGTTTTTCCAAGCATCATAACAAATTTGACTGCTTATAAAACATTCTGCTCTCTATCTTATCTATTTTTAGGCACAATTAGGTATTATTTGCAGTACCCCTCTTGGGTATTTGCTTTGTTCCACTTAACTTTTATAAATAGAAAACGTGAAACAAAAGAAAAGAACAAAACGCTTGTGGGACACATTGTGAAAGCGGAACCCCCGATTCTGCCTTTCAGGAAGCTCCCAGACCATGACTGCTTGGCAAGGGCAAATAGAGCCACCCTGCCTTGCCACAGCCTATTAATTTTAACTTTCTAATCCAAGGTTATCATGGCTGCAGACAACTCTATTCTGTCATATACTGTCAGTGTACTTGGTTGTTTAATCATTAGGTTAGTCTCATATTTACCTGACCAGACACTTAAATGCACATAGAGCTTTAAAAGCTGCTCAAGTGCTTCTCTTTATCAGGGTTTCAGTAATGCAAACAGTTCAAGGCCAAGTGATCTGAATATCACATATAATACTTTCTATTGTCCTATTATATATATTATGTATAATCTGTAGAATTTCAGGATTAATATTGATGGTCATAGAAGTCACTTCCTATATCGAAGCTTTAAGTACACTAACACAGGCCACTAGTGGAGCAGTTGCTACTTTTGTAAATGCATGTTTGTTACCACAAGCCTCAAAAAGGCCATGGAATATATAAATAATATATATAAAATCCTAAATTCAATTGCCCTAAATTCAATTGTATTTTGATTTAGTAATAGCAAATGCAATAGGTGGGCTCAACATTTAGCATCCTCCATGTTTTAAAGTGCACTGTATAATGAACTGTGCAGGCCTGAGGCAGCAAGGAATGAGGCACTTGATTTAGATTTTTCCCACCTCTGTAAAAGCAGCATTACACAGCTTATTCCCAAGCTAACTGTGTAAAATGTGATTTCTGTCCTTCTCCTGGAACTAAATCAAGTCAGAACGTAGAAAGGGAGGAGATAAAAGGGAAGTTATGGATTTGTGTGTGTGTGTGTGTGTGTGTGTGTGTTGTTGTTGCTGTTGCTACTACTGTTTAAGTGAAAGGAGGAAAAAAAAAAACTCACAAGTGGAAAAAAAAGAGGCAAATATTATCTTAGTCTACTTTAAGGCAAAAATTAAGATTCTTTTGACAATAGAACCACATATTAAATATTAAACATCCAGTGTTTAAAAAGTATACGCAACCAGTACAAAAAAGGATAAAAGAACACCCTGTTATGATCTCCAAGTCCTATCATACATGAAAATCAATCTGCACAGAACAATTTTAAAATAAGCTACTGGAATTTCGATGGCAATCAAAAAAGAAAATATACAAAAATATTATATACTACATGTGTGTGTGTATTATAATATTTTCATAAGCTTAGGCCTTTTTGTAAGATGACTATATCTAGTTACCTCAGAACCACAGCAGCTGGACAATCATATCCCTCCTTGTGAATAGTCCTGAAATTTTAACCACAGTTTTGGAACAGGCTCAACTTATTTGCTGGCCAAGTTGAGCTCACAATGACACATATGAGCCTATGCTCTATTTCTAGCCTTAAACAGGGTTGCATTGATTTATCCAACTGGAATTTAACAGTTTTATGTGTTCTTAAGACAGTCAATTCTCTGAGTTCTTTTTCTTTTCATCTGTTGGCTGAAAAAAAAGAAAATCTAAAAGGATATTAAAAAGCCATATTATTGTTACACACACACACTACTATGACTGCACATTGGGACATGATAAAAATATTCCATACAATCTCTCAGAAATATTAAGCAAACACCATTTGGAGTGCCAGATTTTTTGTTTAAATTGCAGATAGCAAAGGAGAACGTACCAGTTCTCAAGCATTTATAAACAATCTATAAATGTTTTATAAAGAAGGATTATTAAGAATTACTTAAGACATGTCTCATAACACATAGTTGTAAAGAGCATTGTCCAAAAAGAGAGATTTATTGTCTTTTAGTCTAAAAATTGATACAGCATGGAAGCAGAAAACTGCAATTTCTAACAGCAACAAAGAGAAGAAAAATAAAAAAAAAAAAACAAAACATACACCACTAAGTGCATCCAAATCTTAATACTATTTCTATAAGACTTTAAGACAAAAATTAACAACTCATTTACAACCAACTTTGTCAACTTATATAACATAATATTTATCAAAGTGAATACAAAATACCTATGTAAGTAGAAGGAAAGTTCTTCAGTGTGTGAGCTGCTACAATTCCAGTAAACTTCCAGCTAGGTGGAGCTGTACTCTAAATAAATCTCGTTTTTTTGGACTATGGGCAGTTTTTATCTCAGCTCTGAATTTTGGGCAAATGCACATTTTAAAAGCATGTTGAATGCCATTAGCTCCACAGGTTAGGTAGCAAAACGACTTAATTCTGCTTATGAAACAACTGCATACAAAATTATTCTTTTATATATGCATATATACTTATATATGAAATAGGAAAATGAGCTTTTCAAACTAGCTGGACTACTGTGGAATAAGAGTATTGGTATCTACATTAGCATTTGTTATTTAGCAATTTAGGGGTTTTTTAATATAAATTTTGCTATATCTAACTTTTCCCACCACTGTTTACTAACTAAGAAAGAAGTCTGGCACATCACCTTATCCACTTATAAACCAGAAAAATCAGAACACTCTTTTGCACAGATCTGAATTAAGAGGCATATGAATGACTGTGTTTTAAGCTAAAAAAAAAATCTCAATTGTTAGGTATTGGGATAGATGAAAAATGTTTACTACATTTTGCCTTGCCATAGTTGTGGTTCAGGGATTCTATTCATATGTTTTTGATGCAGAATTTCTTTTCTACTCAATTAATATACTTACTGGACAATTCACAGTACTTGGAATCAGAGTATAGACTTAGTGGAGGAGTGGATAAAAGCTTCACTGCATAACGTTTCCAAAACTAAAGGAGTTGAGGGGGATTTAAATTCTTTCTTTGAAATGAGAGAAAAGTTTAGTTATATTAGTTTACAAGCTGCTTTGTATCAAGGTTAATCAACAGTAAGTGTACTGGGTTACGAAGTAGAGTTCCAATACATTCCAATACAAGCGTGATCATTTCACTGAGATTTTCCTAGCCACAGATTCATTCTCATTCTTTCTTTCCTACTTTCTGCCTCCCCCGTCCCCATCACCACAGGCAGTGAACTTAGTATGCTGAATACCAAGTCTACCCCCAAGTAAGCAATACCTCTTCCACTGCCAAAACACATACATTTTGTGTGTTCACCAGGGAACAAAGAAAAAAAAAAAATCAGGATTGCTCTATATGGCACAGAATTCAGTGAAAAAAATTCTCAAACCCAACTTTAATCTCCAGGAAACCTCAACTGTACAAAGGAAATAGTTTAACCAGGGAGACTTGTTTGGATCATTTGCACAGTATGAACGACCCTACAAAAGAACTAAAACTTAGAGAGCAAGGGGAAGCATAACATCTAGAATTATAATCTGAAGGGCCAAGTGTATTAAGGATTTTTAAAACTAGTAGTTTTTGGACTGTAAGAAGAATGACCATGCATCAAATAATCAAAAATGCAACAAGTATAAGGAACTACAAAGAATAGCTCCCTTGTATTCCCTTTAATGGAAATGCTTTGCTGCATGTTGTGCAATGAGTTCAAAGAAAAGTAAGCCAAAATAATTATCTTGGTATTCATAGTGGCCAAATATCCTTTATCCTTTTAGTTATGTGCTAGCTAGCTTGCTAGCAAGTTAGAAAGTTGGGTTTGAAACTTTCCAATCAAAGAAAGAGAAAAGGAAATACTTAGTAAAGAAAATACTAGATGCAAATTAAGCAAACTGTATAAATGGTGCAGATTTTCCAGACAGAACGGTCTCTGAAAAAATTAAAATGCAACAAAATCCTAAACCCACACACTTCTGTGATGCAGAAGGAAAGTCGATGGCTGCACAAATAGCAACTATAGAAAGAAAAGCAAGACAGCTGAAACAGTGAAGCATAAAGAGAAGACCACCTGTTTTGATATCTGTAAGGGGATATCCAATATATCCTAACGGCAACAAAATATACTTACTATTACAAACGTTAGGACTATGCATTTTGAAAAGGAAAAAAAAACAGTTAGGAAAGTAAACAAGTAGGCCACAGATAAAATATTAAGTTTGGGATTTAGAAATTTGTGTGATGAGAAACCCTGTCTAGAGTTTGCCCATGCATTCAATTTAGGATAGACACATGAGTGCCTCCTCACAACTACAAGTAACAGCTACAACTGTCAGCATCTGTAGAAGCTAGCAAGTTCATGAAATTACACTTAGGCATATTTACTGAAAAAGCAGAACACTAAAATAAGTATCTTCTTTCATTTCAAGCCTTTCTGTTACCAACTAAGAGGATACGAGAGATCAGTACTATATACCCGCACAGGAAGAGACAGAATGAACCTGAAGTGAACCTGAATTAGGCCAAAATACAGAAAAAGTGGCTCAGAAAGAACTATCTTCTTCGGCCACAGATGATAACTAAATTTCACTCACTATTCAGACAAGCATCCCACTAGATCTGGATACTTCCTATTAGAGGAAGTACTGCAACTCTTAAATATATACAGTATTTTTTACAAATAAAAAAGTCGTCTAAAGACAACAGTGATTCAGCACACCTCCAAAAACTACCTACTAAAAGTACTCACAATCTCAAATCTTCATTTTAATGATTTTTATGTTCCGAGAGTCTATTTCCAAGGCAATATACAAATGAACTAGAGTACCCTTCTCATGCACACATCATGCTTTAAGGGGCAAAACCTGCGAAGTCCACAGAACCAAAAGCATTAGAATTCCGTGGGAGACTATTAGGATTAAAAAAAGTCCAAAGTCACATGAAAAATGTGTTAACAGTCAAGTTACCCAAGAATAACTACATTCTCTATTACATTTATTAAAGTCCACAGTAATGCAGCTGTCCTGCTATTTCAGGCAAACAGAACAGGCTTATAATAGATGCAAGGGTTAAATATTAAAGTGCATAGGGCAGACTGAGCAATGGGTGCCCTTGCTAAGCTCCACTGCACCATGGATGTAATGAGAACTGAATGTGCTTGTGGCTGTGTGAACTCAAGGATCTCAGTGGGTAAAGAATCTCCAGCTGGACTTGGGGGGATCCTGTTCATCCACTCCAATTTTCCACTTGCTTCTGCAGGACAAAAATGTAAAAACCCTGCTTGCAGTTTCCTAACAAGGCTGATTCTTGTATAACTTCATCATGTATAACACAAGCAACTTTTTGCCCCTAGATATGGGGGACGAACATGGAATGTCAAAAGAACAAATTGCTACAAAAGAACAGCAGCTTAAACACCTTTTCACTTCTCATCATTCAGTGGTCTCAAATGAAGCATGCACATCCAGCTTCATAAACCAAAAAAGTTCTATTTCTAATTGCTGCCATCACCCAAAAGAGAAAACAGTCCCTACCATAAACCCACATTTGGTTTAATTCATGTGACAGGAGTAAGTCAGAATTAATGATCAACTGTGAGTACAATGAGACTTAATGAACTTGCTCCAAGTAGAGCAGTACATTGTTTCACTCCCTTGGGGTCTGGACCTCATGCAGGGAGAGATTTAAAGGAATAGAGAACGCTCATAAAGCCTGACTTTAGCCTAAGCAGGTAAATCTCCTTTATTATGAAGGGGGCAGGAGAGCTTTGCCAAGCCACTGACACTATCCTTCCCTATATATTGGAGGGAGGACTTGGCTCCAGTAGATCACCCGGGGGAGCTTTACAGAGAGGCCAGTAGGGCCATCTCCAGAGGCATATTGAACTTGTGCTGCACGGCCTGAGCTGGGAGCAAAGGGACCTGGCGGCTGCTCTCACTCAGAGCATTACTCTGGATGGATCAAGTTCAGTAGTTGGAGGACTCAAACCACAGCAACAACCAGGCTGCCTAAGCATTACAGTCTGGTTCAGCTAGCTAGGGCTCCAGATCAGTGTTGGGTCTCAGCTGAGAGCACTGGGAAGCACAGTATAAATACCCACAGCTCCTTACCACTGACTACATTACCCAATGTTCCTATGCTAGGATCCTCAGGGCTTCCCTATTTCTTTCCCTCCCCACTATTATTCTTTTGTTCTACCTGTTATTCCATCCCATTGACCTGAACACTTGAAATTTAACTATAATTTTAAGTTTCTATTACATTTCTTTCTGCAAAACACTACATATCGAGTCTTGGCATTCTGTATTTTCAATTGCTTATAAGGAACAAATTTATTAAATATGAGGCCTTAGAAATTGTGGAAGAGTACCCTTCCACAAGGTCCAGCCAACATCCGAGCAAAGACTGCAGGAGGCAGCGCTGTCCTACCTGATAGGTAAGCAAACTGCTTCTTTAACTGGTCCTCAATATCCGCAGCATAGAGGGGAATGATGTCTTGATGCATGATTTCATCTATGGAGGGAAAAAGAAAAAAAAAGAAACACATTGCAAAGTCATTTTATGTAAAATTTCACGGCAGAGGTACAAAAGATCCATCCTAGAACAAACAACCAGAATACTGTCCACATTTTCCAAAGCACTGAAGTGTTCGGAGGCTTTCAGGTGCTTTCCAGCAAGAAAATTTTTGCCAAACAGCACATTGATAAATGACTAAAAGCAATGTGTCCTCACCAGCATTTGGAAGAAGCATAGATGTCACTGAACCTAGTGCTTTGGAGCTATTGCATTTCAGGAATGATGATAAACTGTAAGCTTTATACATTTCAAATTCAGTTTTTGTTAAGGACATCTCAAATATTAAGAAGAGAGGCAGGAAAAAGCCAATATTCAGCCTGGCAAGCCTTACTGAAGCCATTCCACAGCACACACAGAGCATGTTCACAGGCAGGTAACATTTTACAGACACCACACACATCTGTGGATTTTCCAGAACGAGCAGAAAAAAGGAGTGCTTTTTATAGATGCATATTCTAAATTGCTCTGCTCAGGGGGAGCATAAGATCCTTCATATGGAATTAAACTTAGTCTCTCTAGACTGTCATGCAGTGCCTAAGGACCACCAGAAGGCAATGTTCTTTAAGACAGGTATTTCATGCTCCACAGCATATCCTCCTCGCACTGCACCTGAGTTGGTACCAGTACAGAAAAGCATTTCTCAGTCTTCTATTTTAACCCTTCTTTTTTATCTGAAAAAGAGATATGATACTTTTCTGCTTCTTCATTTTCTGTACAAGATTTGGCAGAGCATGCAGCAGAGTAGCTGCATTCCCAACAGCACATTTCCAGAGGGCAAAAAAACTCTTAAGTTTTGCTGACTACTTTCCTTACCCCTATAAAGACTTTAAAGGGCTGCCTCACCCATTGAGCAATGATTTTAGCCTCACTGAAAAGCAGTGAAAAGAATAATGTAGCATTTTTATTACTTTGTTTTGAACGTCTCTTAATTTACCATTATATAACAGAGCTTTTACAATGTGCATTGACGTTTCATTATGATATACCCCTATCTGACACTCAGAACTGAGAGTGTGCACAACAAAAATAAGTAAAAGTTTAAATGTGATAGAGGGATAAACATCATCTGCCTTCAAATACAACTTGATCGAACAGAAGTACTACTCTGGCCCTTAAGGAATTGACTTGCTATTAGTGATATTGCTCAAATGCTAGAAATTGCAGTAAGACCCATTCATTTTTATGGGCAAGTCTCATGTGCATAGAATTCTGAAAAGTTCAATTATTTGAGAGCAGCCAAAGAAAATTTTCAGTTATTTCTCCCACATAAGCAGCAACTTATACTGGTGAACAGAACTTCTCTGTTCTCCATCTGACAGCCCGTGACAGAAGAACACTCATGATTTCTTTCAAGGTCACACACTGATCTGAGCTATTTCGCTGTATCCGGTGAACTGCTGCTTGATGAGAAGACCTCTGCATACCACACTGTGAAGTCCATAAGTGGATACGCTTAACTTAAGTCATATTTCACTGAGCCTTTCAGCTATGTCATCATCCTAGTGCTTGCAGGAGAAAACTCAAAATAGATCTTCCAAAACTCCAATTCCAGATTGTCAAGTTATTTCCAAAAAGGGTGGAGATGGGAGGAAAAGGGAGAACCCTCCACACAAAGGAAAAATAAATTTTACTGTTAGTCCTAAAACTAAAAATAGAACTAGTTGCTGCTAATTTAGTGCTACTTTTTTAAAAAAAATAAAGTTAACCCTTGATTCTTCAAAGTAATGCCTACAGGTGGAGACAATGACGTCAATAAAACCTGTTAAGAGGGTCAAAGCCTAATTGAAGGAGATCAAAGCAGGGGAAAACGTAATCGTTTCAGTCATTCTGTCTATGGTCCCAGGCAGAAATAATTTTCATACCTTCACCATAAGCACATAATAAAACAGATGGTGTGCTTTGCCTATATAAATATTTGACACAGGACATGCAAGGCAATTCTGAGTCAGGCCAACTCTTTACCTTACGCATCCCAAATGTGCGGAGATCATGACTTCCTCATATCTGCACGAGGAATCATGCCCCTGCCCCTGCCTGTGCTATGAAAGGGTGGCAGCATCAATCAGGTTGCTCCCCTGCTCCCCTCGGCAGCAGCACCAAGAGCTTTTGGAACCCAAAAGGGGCAGTCCTGCCATCTGGGGATCAAACATTGCTTCACTGAAAATACAGCGTATTTCTCATCCACTGTTTCAGCCCAGCTGTAAGTCAAGTTTAAAAGTCAGCCTCTTGAGCACTGCAAAAGCAGGACACTGAGCAGTGCAAACCTGGAGATCTCCTTCCTCTTGCATCCTTCTCAGTCAAAGCACAGCTCTGTTCTCTTTTTCCTCCTGCTTATGATAACTTAAGCTTATTATTATTATTACTACTACATTTTTTCTATTCCTAGCACATTTCAAGAGGCACTGCCCAGGGCAGCACACTATCCTTGGAAACTATCCTTCTATGATATCTACAAACATACAGCTTACTCTAAAGTGATCTGTATTTTACAATATTCTAAAAACCAGAAGACTCAGAGCTACCTAGAAGGGTATTAGAGGGAGAGAGAACATCAAAGCCATCCAATGGAAAGTTGCTTGAAAATGGAAATACTACCAAAACTTAAAAAAAAAAAAAAAAAAAAAAAAAAAAAAAAAAATCAAACATTGACTGAAAGTTATTTCATGGTTCAGAGCAATTACAGAAATGTGCTGTTTTAGAAGCAATTGCAACATGTATGTGTGTGCATGTATATATGTATATAATGGAAGGCTAGGCCTTATGTTAGCTTTGCAAATAGTGCTATCTACCTTTTTAAGAGACATCAAAAGTAAAGGACAAGGTTAGTCTTCAGCAAAAAAGCAGGCAGCTGGATCAAAAGGTGAAGTGCAGCTAAAATTCTGAAGCAAAGTTTTCTCATATGAAAAAAATATATACCTGAAAATAAAAATAAAAATAAATAGAGAGAGAAGTCTGTATTATATATATTGATCATCTCCTCCTCCTCTAATGAAGATGATGAAACACTTACAGTTTGCTGAAGATGATCCTTGGGCTTGCCTTAGGGTCACAGAAGGTAATTAGCACCAAGAGACAGCGAAGTTAACAGAGTAAGTGACAAATGATTCATACTGGGAGCACCTCAAAAAGCATAAGCAAGAGGTCACTACTTTTACAGAGCCAGGTGCCTGAAAGATTTAATTCAATGCACTGGATTTTTTTCCCCCTCTTCTTAAGGGAGAAGTATATTTCTCTTCCAGAATCAACAGTCTGTATTTGTCTTAAGAAACAGTAACTAGTTGTTGAGTCACTATCTACCCTGTGTGCAGTCAGGTCAAAGTCTCCCAGAGGGATGCAGGGCACAGGGAAATCCGGCTGGGACGCTAGCAGGGCATTGCAGCACACTCTGGGAGGATCTGCCCATAGCTGAATTAATGAATAGCTGGCACCAGCCCCTACCAGCCCCACCAGAACGGTTCTCTCCAAGGACTGAGGCTTGTACAGCCAGCAGGCTGGTCACAGGCTGATGGTGGTAGATTGTTAGGAAATGCAGGCAGACACATGGAAATTCTGCTTTTAGACTCGGTTAAGTGTCTGCTAAGCATGTACATATCATCCTTATTCAGTGTTAAAGCTGGACTTACTGTTCGAACCTCTTTCAGGATCCTGAGGCATGAAAAGGTGCCCCAAAATGCAAAGTCCGAGAACCAGTGGCTTAGACAACTGCTAAAGCAGAAAAGCAGAAGGGGCTCTGAACATGCCCTTACAGTATTTACTCTGCATCCAGCAACACCCAAACTGCTGCATGATAATACATAAAACCCACAAGTTTTGGTGAAAGAGAAATCTTCTAATGTGTTTACATTGCAGCTGTGTATGAGGACATTCCCAGAACACCTTTCAAATAGTTCACTTGACCACCTACAACAGAACACCTGCAGAAGGTCTGCAGTTTAATACTGTTTGCAAAGCCTAGGACTCCAAGTTCCACACCTAAATACTCAATATTTACACACAGCAAGCTAGCAACCAGTAATGGTTTTACTGCTGCACTCTACCATCTTGATTAGTCTAAAGTAAATCTTTAAAAAAGGTTTTGTCCACCATGTTATGAATTAGACTCGCTTGGGGGAGGGTTTGCTACTTTTTGTTGCAGGGCATAAACCAAGATTCAGACTTCGTATTCTAGACACTGACCATAATGTCACTACTAAGCAGAATCACTATTGGCAACACTACTAAAGACTTCCTCAGCCTTTAAAGATTAGGGTATTAGGGACAACTCTAGACAGTTGTCCTTAAATTTAAAAATCATATACAGAATCGGTCTATCGTGTTTGCACTGCTATGTGAGATTCTATTAAAATGGCAGAGTAAATTCAACACCCAGTTAGGATTGGAAAGTAAATTCAATCATCAACTTCAATATTTCTTTATGAGCTAAACTGGATTAAGATAAAAAGATAAAGAGGCCCACAAACCTTTTAAAGCATTTGCCAACTGTCTTACAGGCTTAAAAGACTGTTGTCAAGTTGCTGTCATACTTTAAAAACTTACTTCCTAATATTTACATATCAACACAAATAAAATCCTGTCTTCCTCTAGTGTAATTCTTTTGTTACTTACACTTCCCTACTCTGTTCCCATGCCCAATGGCTGTTGAAACACTGGTGTGCAGTTTTGTTACAAAGACAGAATTTCATTTAGCCTTGAAAACAAGCTCACAACAAGAGCTGAGCATACAGATTTTCAAACCCGTCTTTCAGAAAGGGGTCTCATTTGTGCCTATCGATTTGATTATGTGACCTTTTGCAAACATCAAAGAAAACGAAAACCGTACACAAAAGTCAGGCTGCTTCCAAATACAGAATCATTTGAATATGTCTAAAACTCTTCTAAGAAGAAGATTTTTCTAATCCTTTCTGCAAGGCTGATGTAGGAACAGGGTCTTTGAAGCA